TCTCTTTTCATCCACTCTGAAGGTAATTAAATATCTGTGGCTGCGTTCAAAGCCGCCCGATGCGCTACCTTAACGATTGTCTCTAGGTCAGAGGTCACGCACGCACACGACGTGGAAATATAATGCCTGGAGAACTGAAGTGAGAGAGAGAGAGGGAGAGAGGATTGCTCAGCAACAACGTTGAGACTTCTTGAGTCTCTCAGCCACTGCACTCTTGCGATGCACGTCCAATGGCATGGGAACTATTATGCTTATTAAGGTGGAAAGTAATAAATTATAGGCAGCTAATAATGGGAACCGCGAGCGTAATCGATGTATGCAAAGGAAGTTGTTTGTCTGGTCCGAAAGGCCTCTCTCATGGACGCGTCAGCTCCAATATATATCTGTCGGCTTGTCTGTTGTTGTTGCTGTTATTGCTGTTGTTGCAAAGTATATCGATCTTCCAAAGTATCCAACACATCAGGGTTGATCCTTTTGTTACTCATATATTATCCTGCAAATTATTATCAAATCCTGGATGATGAATAGCCATCAATATTCTCTGTCAACTGTCCAAGATGTCCTCGGTGCTGTTCATTATTTGAACAGAAAAAAAAACTCGAGGTAATTAAAAAAATTCATTTTCTCCTCTTCATAAGTATAAAGAGATATCAGCTGTCTCACTTTATATCGCTTGAGAGTGTAGGAAGGGTCACAGGATGGCAGAGGTTAACCATAAATCAATCAAAGCACATATCTGAGTGGCCGGCAAACTGGAGACTCTTTTGGTCTAGTGGATACGCAAATTCTCCATCAGTAGGAGGATGTTTATATCAATATTTCTGTTTGTTTGGCTGACACATTTATGCGTCATTCTAGTCTCCAGTAGTTTGCCAAAAGATGAGAGGAAGATGTTGCATATGAATGAAAGGAAGATAATATGATGGAACTGACACTTGCGTAAAATTTTCTTCAGTAAATACAGTAATAATAATAATGACAATAATAAGAAAAGATCGATTTATCTTATTAGCAAACGAGAAGCTTGTTATCATTGGCATCGCACGATCTTGCAAAGAAGCAAGAGGGGAATAAGAAAGGGACACGGCTAGAATTTCTTATCGATATCATTACACGATGCTCATGGCATTGTTGTAGACTTTGTCTCTCTTTCTTTCTCTCTCAGGTTGTCTCTGTTATATACACGAAAAGCGTATCCTGTTGGTGGTATTTAGAGAGATCGTCCTGGGCGAAGCTCGCGAATCCTGATGTTCATGCTTCTGAAGCAATCGCCCTCCAGAAGAGACCAAAAATCTTCCAACGAGGTTTATAGTGAAACAGAGCGTTTATTATATCGTCCAGAGAAGCGAAAAGAAAAGAGTCGACCTTTTCTGCCCCTCCTCTCGGTGGTTCTGTTTGTTGCTGCCTTCAATTTTAATTAACCTGGTACCGGGTAGCCGATCGCGATCGAATCGGGTGCACGATCTACAAGGAATCTACATAAGATCCTCCACTCGCGGCTACAACTCAATCCTCTCCTCTTTATTCTCTCAGTGGGTCTCCTTAACTGGCGCTTCTGCTGCTGGCTACCTCATGCACACAATCCTTCGTGCGCCTTCCACCTTATCTCCTGCAGGATCGGAGATAGCGTCTTCTCGGTGGCTCTCGTCGGGATGCGCTCATATTGTCTCCCGCGCGCTGCGCTAACTCACAACAGTCGTGCGGGTGGAGTGAATAGCAGAGGCTCGCTTCGTAGAGGGAGAGGAGGAGGAAGCATATATCGAGGTGTCGCGACGCTCAGACCTCTCTTATTCCTCGTTGCCATTCGATAAAGTCCACCCGGCGCGCATGCACAGGAAGAAGAAATAATTAAGGGGTGAATTCTTATGAGACAACCTCTTAGCTTCTGTGCACCAGAAGTTTTTCTTTTGTTTCTACCTTTTGTTCGGAGATTTTTATCCGAGTTCAAGATCAGCCACCCTCACGCAAAATTATTATGTCGTTTAGGAGTTCAAATGAAAGCTACTTTTTACGTTAATTATTAATTATTTTCTACCGATATATTTTTATTTCTTCCTTTTTTATTTAATTAAAATAAATGTTATATTTTTTGTGTAATTATTTTCTCTAAGACTGTGATAAATAATGAGTTTATTAATTTTAATTAATCAATTTTATTAAGACAACTAAAAAATTAATTATTAATCTTTCGATTACTGATCATTAAGATGTAAAAAATTTTATGCTTAATCACTCAAACAATTTCGTCTTAATTAGTTATTAAAAATTAATTATTAAATTTTTTTTTACTAATCTGTAGAATTATTTTTATTATTTATTATTAATACTCAATATAATTTATAACTTTTGTAGTCACTGAATATAAAATTATTGTCGTCTGCATCATTGAACTAAAGGTTGGTATTTGAAATAAATTTATGAGAAAATATAAATAAATAATCCAGAGGATTAATAAAAATAAAATTCATTTTATAATCCGCAGATAAATTATAAACTGCTGATACAGTTGAGAAATATTACGTAATATGATCTAATGTGGGGATAAATGTAATAAAAAAATAAATGAGTAGGAAGATAATGTGGAAAGAGAGTGAACATTTGTGATTCTTCAGGAGCTCGTGCGCAGCTCAAGTATTTGCTCTGACCACAGTATCGTGCGGGGGGTCCACGATAAAGACGAGAATAATATCGATAATATTCTACTATACGTCCAAGTCATCTCTCTGTGGATTGGCTTGAGCTACAGCATGTGCGTGTAGCAGGGCTAGGTAACACGATAGCAGCGTATGTAAAACCATCTGGTGTAAAACGAGCTGCTGGCTCGTTCAAGTATTAAATCGGAGCCTACATTCTATCTTTTACGACTAAATACTGTCTTCTTTCCTTCCCTCACATCTTTTCAGTATTTTTACATTTTTTCCTCGAGTTTAAACCTTTTGAATATTCATATTTCAGTCTGGTGAATTTTATTAATCAATGATTAGATCCAATGCTCTCTTGATGCATCAATTATCGCTTTGATTTTTTTTTTTAAATAAATTTAATTACAGTATGTACGATTTTTCTGAATGTTTTTTAATTACATAGCTTTGATGTTTAATTAATTTTATTAGTTTTAAGAATTATTAATTTAAAAAAAACCCTTTACATAAAAAAATCTGTTATTATGTTACATAAATAAAATAATTTACTCCAAATTCCAAAAATAAATAAGAGAATAAATGGAACAAATTATTATACCTACCAAGTTTTGTACAAAGACTTTAAAAAAAAATTTTGCAAGTAAAAAAAAAGTATTAAAAATAATTTGGTTAGTGAGAATATGATTTGATTTAGAAGAAGTCGTATAGTCAAGCAATTGCAAATGTTTCAAATGAATTAATTAAACCAGTTTATCGTTATTTATTATGAATGATTGTTAATAGTTTGACCATCTGCGATTGCTTAAGTATAAAAACCCATTCGTTAATGTATTCTGTTTGTATGATCATTTATTATTCAACTTTGTTTTTAATATCCAATAATAATTTGTAATTATTATCATATGATCGACATTAATAATTCAGATCTAAAATCTGACTTCCTTAAAAGTTAACATGACTATAAATAACATGAGCGCATAAAAAGTACAATAGAAAAAAGATTTGTAATTAGTTAATGCGACATGTTGAGTCTACTGTAGAATTAGTGACTAAAATGGCAACATTACTAACAATCTACATATTATTTATGAAATATATATGATCGTTATCCATATTGAAAAGTGACATTTATTTATAATTTAATAATTAAAATTAATTAACTCATTTTTTATCATTAAAATTCAATTACAAAAATCTCTTGCTCTCTTGTACATCGATTTTATCGTAAATGTGTTACAATACATTGAAGAAAAAAAAAAAAAACATCTTCGCTTCACAAGATCGATAACGAGTTGATCACTTATGTATAAACATAAAGATTTAAAATCTTATAATTAATATTATTTTAAATCTCCGGAAGATATTGTTTCTAGTTTTTATTAATATTAATAATATACTTTCAAATGACTCTCGTTAGTCTTAATAAATTTAAAGTGCCATTAATTAACATACACTAGACATTAAACCAACTTATTCAGCATTCACGAGATCAATAAAATAATTTAATGGAAGATAAATACTTGTTTTATGTGACTACAACGATAATCACCCATTTAGTAAAAGGAAAATATATGAAGCCTTATAAGAAGATACAAAATTATCCTTACGAGTGAAAAATCAGAACTAGACTCATAGGTCAAAGATCATCCATACCACAATCTCTATATACTTCATGATTTATGTCGATAGCGATACGATCGATCGACCTCTCGTTCATATGGGATAAAGCACGACACTCCTTTCACCATTAAACAATTTGTCATTGTTATAAACGATAACTGATTGTCCTAAAGATCAACTCATCAAATATTTCCCATTTTTCCTCGCTGTATTATTTAACATTATATAACCAAATATTATCTTAAATAAATTTTATTTAATTTTCTTCTTTTCATTTTTTATGAAAAAACGTTTAAAAATTTATTAAATAAAATTTATATCCATGCTTTTTGTTAATAAATACAATATCTATTTTTATTCTTTTTTTAAAACATTACATTGTATTCATTAATTTTATATCAAAAAAATAGTCATTTATTAAAAAAAAACACCTCGGTTTTTTTTCTCTTTAAAAGCATAGATTGTTATTCAATTTAATAAAATTTTATACTGGAAAAAAAATTTAGAAAAATATTATTCCACTGTCATTAAATTAAAAAACAATATAATAAAAAACGAGAGATCGACGAAATATCCTCAACTACAGCAATAATAATAAAAAAAAAAAATGTAATAAAAAAGCTAAATATGAATTAAAAAAATATCATTAATCTCTCTTAATATAATTCTGTGATAGTTGGTAGATAATGAAATTGTGGAGAGCGCCTTCAAGTGTCTTAAGAAAGCCCTGCCACTGACCTTTCTCGTAGTTGATTTGTCGTTCCTGCTGTCGCGCATTGTCAGCCGCAACCTTCAGCAATCCTTGAATATTCCTCAGCAGTGTTTCTGTACTCGAGACTGAGGGGTCTTGCGCCCCTTGTGATACCGCAACCGCAGCTGAGGCTATTTGGGAATAATTGAGCGCTTGTGGACTTTCAGATCCTGGCGCGGGTAAGGGAAGATTTTCCGGAACATCCGAGAGATCTGAAAGAGAAATAAAAATATGAATATTTATTTATCAACAGGTGGATTTCGTGCTGAGCAGGCATAAAAATATTTAAATGTATAGGTCAGACATATTATAGTGGTATTAATAAATTGGGCGGGTGTAAACGGCCGACAACGACGTTTCTTCTGGTCAAAGACTTATGTAAGGTGCGTGTCTCGAAGTCGTAACCTCCGTAGAATCCGCTTGTTGCCCTTCGGCTCTCTAATTTAACGTCAACCAAATCCAAATAAGCTTTCCTTGATCTTTCGGACATTTCTCTTCTCGCAAGAGAAACGCTCACCGATTAGTACAATCGCGCGGGTGGCGAGAGACGCATGAAAATAAAAGAGTCAATGTCTTATGGTTATTGCCAAGTGAGTGCTAGTGGACAAGATGTCTGCGTGGGTTCTTATTCCTCTCTTCTCGTCTCTTCGAGCACTAAGTGACCACTCGTGCTTCTTTCTGCGCCCACACCGACGCGACATCACTGGCTAAAGAGCAAGAGAGAACCGCGCGCGTGCTTTATGGCCAATGATATGTGTATTTATTGTATCGTCTTTTAATTATCAGCGTGCGCACCTACAACGAAACGGCATTCTGTTACTTATTGCCCAACGGCGTCTCTCGCGATCGGATTTAATGCTCGCGCCTTCTAACCATCTGCCGGCACCCTTTTGATATCGGTCTTCCTCTTTTTCCTTCACTCTTGCCTTTATCTTTCACGGGAAACCATTACAATTATCAGGAAAAAATAAAATAACTAAAAATCTATATAACATGAACTGACTTTTCTCCAATAGCGCATTGTCTTTTTTTCTTTGTTTCATTTGCCATTCGCTTCTTTTTAGCTATTCGGATTTCTCTTTGCCACTGAAGAATCGGCAAATCAGAGTTTAATTCTAAGAAAGAGAAACATGAACGCAGCTATAGAGGGTGAGAAGGGAGACCCGCGCGCGGAGGACTAAGTCTCATTAAATCAGAACGGCATTCCACGGGCGTGTACACTCCCACGGACATTCGATGGGGTTCTACTTCGATCACCGTAGGTAGGATGTACCGGTGCATACAACACGCTGAGAGACACGAGGCCACCGCCCCTCCCGATTCCTCCGCACGCACCAGACTACTGGGTCAAGATGCATATTTTATCGTCATTTTTATTCAACACCATCTTCTCAATACCTTATTTTCCTTTCATTTCGAACGCTATCCTAAAAAAATACCTGCATTTTATTTTATCTGCAACCTCTTAAGGGGTAATGAAAGACAGGTCATACATTTTAAGCACAAGCTTTATTCGCAACTAATAAATTAAAATTTTTTTTCCATGAAATCCGAAAATCATAATTTAAAAAGACCTTTAAATTATTATTTTTCAAAAAAAGTAGCGATTCTCATGTTGTGACCATGGAATTATAATTTGTTTTGCTAATTACAAAAATTTAGTTTCTCTTGAAAAGCAGGAAATAGAATATTTTTCAATAATTAATATTATTTATCCTTCATTTTAAAAATATAAACAACTGAAACTATTTGATGACCATTCTTTAAATCATTAACTCTGCAACTAATTATTTATAATGATTATTAATTATTTTAATGATGAAATTATTTTAATTATTTTTAATTATTGTTATTATTGTAATTATTACAACTAGAATGGATTGCTTTTATAAAATAATCTGCCTCTCATAAGACTTAAAAATGAATGTTGAACATGGCCCTTGTGATATTTTTATGTCCCTTCGGATTTGACTGAAAGTTATCTTGGCCAGGCGTTAATTGGGTCCAACCGAACTAATCGAGAGTCATGATAGTCTCGACTTGAGCGGGCCTACGTTATACGAACGCGAACATCAGACCAAAGCCATCGTTTGGCAGAGATGATCGATGAGTGGCTTTGACCTGCCAGTCGTCCTCTTCTGGAGCTCATTCTATGGCTTGGTGGCCACATCCAACTGGACCGATATAATTATTTCTCCGCGTGTTGTTAGATAAAGAAAAGAAATTTTTAAAAACAAGATCAACGGACTTTTCACGGTGACGGACGTATATATTCCTGGCATCGATAAAAGATTGCCACTTCTCTTTTGCTAATTGCCCTTCTTTCACATTTACTCCTATACCTTCTTTTCCTTTTTTTTACTCTTCAATAATCTCACTCTTGCTTTCTTTCGTTATTTTAAATCTCCGACATTATAACTTCACCGTCGTTCATCACTGTCCAACGTACTCGATAATTAATGAACGACTCCCTCTTAATTTTTTTTCTTCTACAAGACTAATCAAAACGTGAATTTTTCTTCGACTAAAATATTAGGGATAAAAATATTGAGCATTTTATGAAATGCCGACCTTCATCCTTTTCGTTATCATCCTCCAAGTCGTCTGAAAGGTTGTCATCTTCTTCCTCGTCATCTTGAGAACGATGTGACGCAGCTCCTTCACTTCCTGATGGTTCACCAACACTACCACTTCCAGCAGTTTTTGAAAGATTCAACACTGGACTGTGACCATTCGAAGAGCCTGTAAATATATATTTGAATTAATTTATTGGAAATGTTGAAATAAATGAGGTGACATTTGTTTTTTGATGAAGGAAGACTTGTGAATGTGATGAATAAAAATATTATGACTAAAGTGATGAAATGCTATTAAGTTATTTGGGTCTGATACTGTATAAGTTAATAAGTAGGATTGCCTAGATGGTCAATCGATCTAATCTAAACAAGACTAGAATCCATGACAAGTTGATGGATTTTATTTGCACGCAACATCTCCCTATTTGGACATCTACAAGTCTCTATCGAATCTCTTATATTCTCTTTCATTTCCCTAGAATTTTCCCAGTCTATTTGATATCCCACAGCATTTTAATCCTGACGTGGATGGATTCTATTTGGGCAGAGAGACCACAGAGGTGACGCATGGGGGCCCACCATTCAAGTCTTTTACCATTGCCAGAGGTACGAGAAGTGAAATGGAAAATGAAATTGGATAAAGAGAAGAAGAAAAAGGGAATACAAAAGAGAGTACTTTCCTAGTCAAACGAATTCGCTGGAATAAATCGAGCTCGAAAGGTCGATGAGTGAAGGCAATAGAACAAAAATGGATTTCTAAAAAGTCGCCATCAACATGCAAAAGGGAGAAGAGATGGCGTAGAAAATGAGAGACGTCGAAGCGAGATAAAGGGTTCGGCCAGACGGATTAAAATATTACGAGGAATCAGAGAGAAAGGCGCGCGGTGCCGCGAGGCAAGTTTGGGTCCCGAAACCTGATATCTAAGATTCTCTCCCTCTTACTCCTTTATCGAACTCTCTTCTGTAGAACACCAAATGCAGCCCCGGGCCCATCTGTATCTATATAAAACGAAATAAAAACGGAAGAACAAAGGTGCCCGGAAGAAACGACGTAGGAGGGACAAGAAGAGAAACGTCGAGTAGGATTTTTCTACGTGGCTAAGCTTCGATTTAGATCGATCCATCTAACGCATTATCTTAATTCGAGTGACATATTATTTCCGTTTAGGATTTTGAATGAATTATTGAATTAGCTAATTAGTTACATTCTCAGAATAATGTATTTGTTCGTTGTTTTTATTAGTTTTTAGTTCTCTTTCACTTTCATTCATTATTTTGTTTCTTTTTTCAGGAATGGAAGAGCAAGATTAAGATTACAACCTTTGTGCACTATTTTAATAAATTATTCCAAAACTGGTACAGCAAGATGACTATTCCATAGGAATTTATTATCTGCGCCCTCTTAAATCTATCAGTGACTTCAGTGTCTATAAGGTCACTGATTCCTTCAATAACCCAATTGACACTGGATAATTAATTAATAATTACCAAAGTCACTTAATACTTTGTAATAAAATTTTTACAAAGTTTTTCTTTCAAGCTTGAAGTGTTCCTAATAGATGGAAAGACCACTTTATTGTTGATATCAGTGGGAAAATGTCCATTTTTAAATTATTGTTGAGAAGGTATAAATGGTTGCTTTTCAAGATTAATGGATTTTATCTAATGGATGAATAAGTAAAGAAATATTTACCGTTGTGCGAACTGAGATCTCTTGGTTTGTGATCCAACGCCAGCGCTCTTTCAGCATCTCCTCTTTCTTCTCTCAACCTGCAACAGACAAACATCACATTGAGAATATAACAAGAAATATTCTAGTGCGTTAATAAATTTCTGATTTCAATGATTGAACATATAAGTTATCTGTTTCTTTCTCAAGTTCTTGACTACAAACTAATAATTAAGTAATTATTCTACGATTGCGCGTGGGCTGCTAAGTAAGGGTTTTCATGTTGAATCATCTTACATATCGTGATTCCCGTCATATTCAATCTAACAGTTTCTCTAGACATCTGTAAAGACCTCGAGAAACTTGATACATGTACAACAAAGTTAGGAAAAAATTCTTGCAAAAAAAAAATAACAATAAAGACAAATAAGGAATGAAGAGAAAATTTTTTAATTAATTTATATGTTGCTGCAGAGTGGAAAAAAGTTATGACAAATTTCATAAGCAGACAAAACTTGATAAACTCGCTGTAAATGTCAAAGTAGCGATGAAAGTCAGCAAGTTGGAATTTTTTATTTTCTCAAACTTACTTAATTTTATTTTTTATTTCAGTAAAACTGAAATCAAGGGGGTTGGAGAGTAACCACCCGTGGCAAAAATCATTAAGATTTCTTGGCAACTCCTGTATAGTAGAATGAGTTGATGTAAATGACAGTGTGTGACCCTCGGGGGTTAGAGAAACTGGAAAACAACCCTAGGTCATAACAATAAAACCCCTTTTTTCCGCGTTTCAACGGCCCCAGGGTCATTAATGTGGCTACGAAATAGAACTTTTTCATTTAACACGAGAAGTGGTTGTAAAAATGTAATCTAATATTAAAAAGTCAAAAGATAGTATAACAGTGATTAGAACTTGGAACTTGTTCATTTATTTCATTTCTTCATCTCATCATTATTTTTTTTTCATTTCACTATCGGAGTTTATTTTTATTCCTTTTTCTTTGTAAAAGCTTTTTCACACCTCGAATCGAACCGCGGACCATTAAGTAAGAAGTTAATATCATTAAACATAATATTGGGCGCATCTGGGAGCCACAGAGCACTTACTAACCCCCGACAAACGCCTCAAACCCCCTCATTTTCTACATCGCGAGAACTCTCTCTCTCTCCCTTTCTCTCTGCTCCCACTTTTTCATCCCCCCGTGAAAACCATTCGCTCTTCGGTTACATCACTGCCTCGTTGCTCCCTCGCGCCTTAATTTTTTAATGAGAAAATGCTTTCAAAGAGGCAAAAGAGAGATACAACGTCTACGAGCAATAAGTCACGAACTGATGGGCTCGTGGTCGTTGAGACCACAAAATATACTGAAGAAAATTCTCCAAAAACATTTCCTCCCTTTTTCTCTAAAACACTTCATTTATTTTTATTTTTACTGATATTTTTCTAATTTCCACAAACATTTGTGTCCTTTAAATTACATAAATAAAAAATGTATTATTAAAATCTCTCTCTAGAGCATTAAAATTTTTATTTACTCTTGCACTTTGAAAATATTATCATTTTTACATTTTTTAAAATAAAATTAATGAAAAGTAAATTATTAAATTAAATATGAAATTTTATTATGTGTTTTTATTGAAAAAAAAATTAATTGGCGGAGTAGAGGGATGGATTTTGAGAGCTAAATAAAAAATGGTGATTTTTGTTGTACCTCATGATGTAACAGCACTCTAATGTTCAGTCTAGACAGAAAAACAACGATATATTAAATGTGTAATTAACCGAATCTAATACAAAGTTCCCTGGCACCTTGAAAACTGCTCTATCTCACCGGTTTCTCTCCCAACACGCGTGTAAATTTATCTCAACTCTTGCTTCCATGTAGTAGAAATTATAACTACACGCATATCAGACGTAGACTGTTCTTGAATATACAAGAACCGTTTGTAAACCTCGTACCCCGTGTATTCATACATTACCGCTTTCATTATCTGCAGCCTTCTCAATTCTGTGTATCTAGAGAATAATTAGTGACGCTGCCAAGCGAAGTCTACCACGTTTGTGCTTTATTAAATATTATATTGCAATAAAAAACAACTTACCCCTAATAAAAATTATTTTTTTAAAATTTAATTAATAAATAAAAATAAAAAGTACATCCTGAGAATTTTTAATGATGATTAAAGATACTTCTGATGAACATCAGAAGCTTGATACATTTCATTTTATGTAATTAATGAAATAATAATTATTATTATGGTAAAATGCACTCCATTTTAATTTTATATTTAAATTGCAATGAAAAAATTGAAAAAAGAGCTGCAATTACTATCAATAAATAAAAATATGTAAAAATAAAGATAATCATAACGTTGAAGTCTACTTTTAATTTTAATAAAGTTATAACGTGCTTATTTGGAGGTAGATGCATGTCATAAAATAAAAAATTAAAACATCACGAAGGATCGTCATGAGAAGCATCAGAAGAACAGACATGTAATAACTTGCCATCACAATTTATATTTATATATAAAATATTTCCCTGTATCCCTTTGGTCTATAACGATATATATCATTTGTGAAAATTTTCTCGACTTTTGCTCTCCCTCAACGAGCTGCGATAATGATGACAACAATTGTAATATCGAGAGAACAAAGGACTTGTGTTCATGAATACCAGAGAGAGTTATGCTTTTTAGATCGTAGGACATGCCTACAGGCATTTCCAATAAATTTGTTGGGTGGCGAGAAATTGAACGAAAATGTAAACCAAAGTGAAACGTATCCAAATATTTTGGTAACAAAAAAAGTTCTTTTTTTATGTGCTCATAAATAATTGTTGATAATAATTAATCGTTGACTTTAATTAATAGATTGCAATACACAAAGGAATTTTTAGCTTTGTCTGAAACAATATCCTCCTCATTAGGAGCCCAAGAGCAGTCTCCAGTATCATTAATATCCGAGCTGGAAGAAACTTACGAGAGGGAATAATAAACAGCCACGAAGTAGACTAAAGGAATGAGGGAAAGGGTGAGTCTGCAAACGGACCAGTAACACGATCCAGTAAAGGAAATTCCATGAAAGTGTCATTTGATGCAAAGAAGAGTGTTCTGTCATTCTTCCAGTTCTTTATACTTCATCTCATACTTTATAATTGTACATGGAAGACAAGCAAATGAAATATCAAATTACTCAAGTTCTCTTTGACAATGTCTTGAAGGAATAAATTCACTTACGGATATTGAAAATATTATCCAACACGTTCAGAACATTTATCAAATTGGTCAGTAGCCAAAAAGATGGAGAATCGAGCAGATGGTTCGAGGGGTTCGAAGATTCAATCAGTAGATGCCTAGGATTCCATTGATGTCGATAAGACCAAGGAAGAAATAAGATGTTTCGGACAATGAAATTTTGTTGTTTGAATTTCTTGGAAAAAGGGTAATGAACTTTTGCGAGGAAAACCATTTTTACTGAATCGTCTCTTAGGTTACAATAAAAAAATTTGAAACTTGACAAAAAAAATCACAACATGAATAAAACATTGCAAGCGGTGCAGAAAAATGTTATTTATTTATTTTAAATAAATTAAATTTAATTAATGACTTTTAAATGATTAAATATAATTAATTTTCTTTCCTCCTTCATAAACAAATCATTATTATTCGTAATTCAAATATATTGTTTTAAAGAAAGTAATTAAAAAAAAATTTTATTTTCAATAGTTTAAATAAATTATTGTTTACCATTGATTTATTTTGTTGATAAATTTCGTGATTGCGGGATGTTGAGTGATAAGCTCAAAAAAAATTTTTTAGAAGCAATAAAAATGCTAACACAGATCCAAGACCTTCAACAATCTCAAATAGACTTAAAGATCCTTCTTTCATCAACTTCTCCCCATCGCTACCTTGACTAATAGATCCAAGCAGCAGTCATGACACAATCATACACCAACTACGCAGCTTCATATCAATCCAAAAGAGAAGGAAGCTCGCGCTTCCCTGGGGGTAACAAGTCGCTGATAAATGATCTTGCACCCGGCACAGCAGACGATTGAGATTAATTTCGCGGATGTTACATCCGATCCTAAGCTCGATCTTTTAGGAGCGTTTCCTGCGCCACCAGGGGTGTTGTGTAAATAAACAACGATAGAAAGATGTAGAAAACTAGCAAAACGGAAGTTCAAAAAAGCGTAGTCACGTTTGATCATTTTGAGAAGGTGAAAGTTGTATGAAAAGGAAAAAAATCTGAATGGAGAGTCTTCAATTATGCCGAATAACGTTCAATTATTTTATCTGCTGAAGAGAAGAAGTCAGAAAACAAGTCACGACTTATGATGATATTGGACGAAATAATTAGACATCCCCTTTTGACCTCTTTACATATTTCTTTTCCTACATCTTCCTTCCGTCTACTTCTCTAATTCATTGTATCGCTGTTTGAAGTTTAACGAATAATCGATCTGCTTTTTCCCTCGTTTCTACACTGTGATGCAGCTAATTATGCATCCCCCAACGGAACCCCCATGGACAGGAAATGAGACTCCCTGAGTTCCGTTTATTCGTCTTTTCGCTCCTTCTATCTTATAACCAACCAAGATACAAAGTCGAATGTACAGTTGGTGGATTAAGTCGAGATACAGCTAAGACGTTAACCCCCAAGTTTATGTTTCGTCGAGCGACAGCGGTTTAATTAGATGACGGCGATTCGCCTGGGATACGTTTATTGAACTAAATTGTTTTCTTAGCTAATACTAGCGATAACAAGAGTTAAAATCGACTTTCCACACGCTTAGAAAGACAATGCGAGATTTTACTAGAGATTAGAGAGGAAAATATCAAGTCATTTAAGAGAAAATGACACTTTTCCTTATGACTTTGCTTTCCCCTTTTCAAATACTGCTCGTTTTGATGATCTAAATTTTGCAGGGGTACTTTTGAGTCCTTTCTCAGCTCTGATATGTATACATCTACCGAGGGATGGGAAACGAAATTGTCTAGATATTTAGTTGGAGCTAGAAAGGGTTTGAATTATGAAATACTGTGTGGTAGATGTATTGTGTATCTCCTGTGATGCTCTGATGCTTGGAATAGT